TGGAAGTCCTGCTGGGTAGATCCCAGATGTGGTTCTCTTCTGATGGACAGCCTGGTCCCTTTATGTGACACTGGCCAGGCCAGGAGGGAGCCTGTTTCAGGGCTCCCCAGCCCTGAAGGGAAGGAGGGTTTATCGAACATGCCCACTAGCCTGACTTGGACATTGGCAATAGGATTTCTTGGGATTTTGTGCCAGTTACACTAAGCTGAACAGACTTATTTTTTGATGGGGAATGGCCTCAGCTTTGATTCCTTTACAATTGGTTGGGGCTTGGAGAATGAAAAAGAGAAAAGAAATCAATATATTTTGAGAAGGGATGTTGGATGGTAGGAAGACCTTTAGATTTTGAAGAGAGACACTTGGTTTAGAATCAGCACGGACACTTTCTAAGCTGTGTGCTCATGGATGAATAATTTTCCCCCTCTGAGTTTCACTTCCTTTATCTGTAAAATGGAGATAATACTTGAAAAGAGATGGTTCTGCACAGTGAAAAGAGAACTGACCTTGGAGTCAAATAAAACTGGAATTAAGGTCCAGGCTCTGACACATACTCACTGTGTAACCATGGGTAAGTCATCTAAGCTCTTAGTACCCTAGGTGACTTTCTGAGACTATAAATTAATCTGTATTGCTGCAAGGAGTTGCTCTACTGGGAGTTCCATACCTGATGTTCCTCAACATCCTCTAAAAAGACTTAAAATACTTACATATAGGATCGCTGTGAAGAAAGCACTTTGTAAACCTTAAAGCACTATATGAGCATAAGTTATTGCTGTTCTATTAATCCATCACTAAGTATTTATTAAGCTTCTACTATATGCCAGGCACTAGACCCTGAGAGTATAAAGATGAACATGAGATAGTCCTGTATCCAAAGAGCTTGCAGGAGAGATAAAATGTATAACACACACACACACACAAAATTAATTTGAGGTAATTTTGGTGCTTTCATGAAGTCATCAGGGTGATACTGGGATCTCAAAGGTTTTGCCAGTGAAGCACGAACTCTCTCAGGCTCTGCCAGGACTGATGATGGATGCTGCTTCTGTGGTCTGAGGACCAGTCTAGTAAAAAGTGGAAAAGTTCATTTCCAGAGAGCTGCCTGCTGGGTATTGACATTTTTTTTGGTCCTGCCAAAACTAAAACTAAATATGAAAACTCTCTGCTAAGGTTACTTGTGGAGTGTCTAACTACATCAATGGGAGAGGAGATTCAAATTCTCCAGTAGAATGCAAGTCCCTTGAGGGCAGGGGTGGTTTCAAGTTTTTTTTTTTTTGTATTCTCAGCTGACTAACACATGGTAGGTTCTTGACAAATGCTAGCTGCTTGGAGCTGAATTACTATGATCAACATTAGAGTAGGAACTATCCAAATGAATCGTGTCATATGGAAAAAAAAAAGAAATCTTATTTATTTTTTCCCTTCTCTTCATACTTTTCCTTAAGTTGCTCCTTTGTGAAGCTGCTCTCAGTTTTTTGTTTTTAGAAACCTTTCCATTTCCTGTCTCATCCCCTCGTCCTCCATCCCAACTCCCTGCAAGACTTCCCCTGTCCCTTTTCCCTTCACCTTTCCTTCCCTCTGACTTCCCCTGCTCTGGGTCTCTCTCCTCCCAACTTGCTTCTTCTGCATCCCCCAGTCCAGTTTTTGTGCAGGGTTTGGCTGTCGGTAGTCCATTAGATGGAGCAGAGAAATTCCTGCAATGGCTGCAGAAGAGCTTTGTGGACCAGAAGAGACAGGTCAGTGTCCAGGGACTGGAGCACATCCAGGAAAACAAGACACATTTGGCTGGGCAAGGAAGTGGATGAAGCTGGCAATCTGCCCCAGCCGCCATATGCTTGGATTGGACGGTCCAGCTTCTCTCCACTGAACAGCCATGATGGCAGGTGCACATACTCAGTACTGCTCAGGAACCAGGATTCCCTATGTCTTCCATCTCCAACTAGAGATCCTGGGTGCCCAGTGCTTGGGAGGGGAGGATGGGCCAGGTAAGGGGGGCATCTAGCTAGATGGAGAAAAGCAGATTAGTCTTCATTCTCCTGAACCTCCAAGCCTAGCTGAGAGTCCTCATCTTGATTCTGCTGGGGGTGGGGTGAGGCAGAAGTAAAGACTCAGGCTCTGCCTTCCGGGAACTCCCAGTCTGGCTAGGGAGACAATCCTCCTATAGAGAAACCAGAAAAATACATCCTATGATTTATTAAATGGTCATGATAATATCTGTAGTATGTACCTCATGTTGCAAATAATTCTGTGTTCTGAGATAAAGTTTCTTCTAATTCTGTTATTCTATGACTCAGTAAGTAGGCAATGAAGGGGTCGGCATTACTTGACATTTTTTCTTGCACGAGGTAGTGATATAAAGGAGATCAAATCTGGTCAAATGTATAATGTGGACTGGGTGACAGGTTGCACCTCTGTCAGACAGCAGGCTTCCTACTCCTATGCCCTCAAGTTGGGGTCCATTAAGTTCTGTGTAACAAAGAAACTTCGTGAAAAGCAGGCAAGTGTAGAGGGCCTCCCTGGTCTGTCCCTGGGAAAGGCAGGTATAAAAAGTGATATACAGGGTAGCGGGATTTAAAGTTTGCAGGCATCCCGGGGAGCGTGTAATTGCTTCTGTCCTTCATTACAAGACTGTCTCCCTTTCTTAAATTTATTTTAGCTAATTAGTGGGAAATGTCAGAGTAGTATTTCAGGTGATGGGAACATCATATATTATCATACACGGCACAATTAAGGCTCTGACAAATATTTATTGTGGTGTCTCCTCTAATTACACCCTTTTGTGCTCTGGGATGGACAGCCTTGCAGTTCAGAGGGTTGGGGTTTCTTGGCCTAGGAACTTAGAACCTACAGCCATCCTCAACTATGGGGTTGCTTGGATTTCTGGTGAATTTATCCAGAGAGAGTTAGGGGGCTGGGAAATCTTGTGGCTGTTTCTAGGCAGTGAATTTTAGGCGATGACCTGAATGAAGAAACATAGGTAGTCACACTATCCAAGCCAATCAACCTATCCATTGATAGATACTTTAGAATCATTTAGGACAGGAAGGAAAATCCACAGATCATGTAGTCATTGAGAAGTCAAAGGAGCACTAGATTGGGAATCGTAAGAGCAGAATAAACAACATGGTACTATTAGTGATAATTAGCTATTCAGATCTATTACTCATGAGCCCCCACCAGTGTTCATTTTACCAGATCAAACCAAATGACTCTGAATTCAAAGTAAAGAGATCTAGTGAAATGGAACAGTCAAAATGGGGGATTAAATCAGGGAATAAACACTTTTACACCCTTTCCCAAGTGACTGCTAATTCCCTACATGTTCTCAGGACAGAGCTTATCTTAGCCTCAATTTGACCATTGTCTCTCTAACACAGAGGGAAGGGGCATATAGACTATTATATCATAATTATGATAAAGAGGTTTAAAACAAAGTTCCATTTTAAGTCTGAGGGGGGAGATTGTTGACAAAGTGGCAGGTCTGAGAAAGTTTCCCTTGAGTGACATCTTTGGATTTGGCCTCGAAAGGATGAGTTCCAATAGTCAAAAGGGAAAACATTCTAGACATAGGGAATAGTATGAGAAAAAAGGCATGTAGACTGAAAACATATGGTTTGTTTGGGGGACAAAGAATAGTTCAGTTTGTTTTATAGGCAAAGTGCTTTCTTTACAACAACCTTGAGAGGTAGGCAGTATGTAATTATGCCCATTGTGCAAATGAGGAAACAAGGTCAAAGAGGTTGTGATTTCCTCTTGGTCACCCAGCTAGTAAGTAAAGCTTGAATTTGAGTCTTCTGATGCCAAGCCCAGCATTCATTCTACCAACTTTGGCAATAGAGAGCCACAGAAATTCATCTGGTTACTATGTCCCAGGGGCCATATGGGACACCAGGAGGTATAAGTCATGATCCCTTCAGTCTGACTGGGGAGACAAGACATATCCATATGAAAACACAAGTCACAATAGAAGGCCATATATTACAAATGTAAAATTTGGAGTACAGGTCAAATGTGTGTCATGTAGGAGTTGTCTGTTGGGATTCTACTAAAATAGGCAACATTCTGAAAGGTCAAGATCTTTACTCTCCTCTCTAGCCTGAAAGGCTGTGCGTTGGGTTTCCCGGGGCAGCTGCTGCAGAACGGGGAGGAGGCCGCTTCTGTTTGGTTAGCTCTCTCCCAGCAGAATGGTGGCCTGGATGACCAGCCATTGAGAACGCAGAGCTTGAAACACAAAGGAGTCAGATGCAGGTATCCTCATCTCTGTGCTCCATGAGCTGTCTCATCTTCCCTGTGCATCGTGGAGAGAGAGAGAGGGTCTCCTGGAGAAGGGAGCATGAGGGAACCTTTGATCTCCAGCCCTGGCTGTCTTTAAGCTGCCGCATGTACCCTTCTGCCTTCCATGCCTCTTGGTTTGCCAACACTAGGTTGTAGAATTAGTGTCTTTTGTGAATTGTGTGTCTCTGTTTATCCTAGGCAAAGTGCAAGTTGATTCAAACAAAATATATTTAAGTACTTGCAATATGCAATATTCTGGGTCCTAGGTATACAGAGCTGAAAAACATAGTTCCTTAGATAGTTTACAGTCTAATTGGGGTGAGGTTACACACACATATAAATAAATATGTTCCAAGAGAGTTTTGTGGGAATAAGAAATATATAGGTAAAGTGCTCTAGAATTAAAAATTTAATTCTTTTCAGCTGATGGATTGAAAGAAGGCTTCCTGTAGGTAGCAGCCCCTGAATCGGGCCTTGAAGGAAGAGAAGGATTTTGGTAGGAAGAGATGAGGAAGGAGTAATTTTCCAGACATGGAGGATGATGGAAATGACTGGAAGAGATCAGGGTACAAAGAGCAGTCCTGTCTGGCTTAGAACACAGGGTATGTGAAGAAACTGAAGAGGATGGTTGGAATGAGGTTATGGAAGGCTCACCAGACAAGAACTTTGTGTCTTACTCTATAGACTAATGGCCGGTCTTCCCTTTCTTTCTCCCTGCGCCCCAGGCAGAAGCAGCTATGGAACAGGGGAAGGATGGACCCCGTGGCCCAGGGGCCCCCGGGCAGCATCGCTGTGACCAGCCCGGATGTTGTCCCCCTGGTACTTCACAGAGTCTGGTGGCACCAGGGGGAGTCTCAACAGGTACTTCTGCTGCAGCTTCCTTCTTCATAAGGTAAATTTTTTTCCCCCACTTTCCAGAATTGCTCATCTATGTCGGTTTTTTTGGGGATAGACTTTGTGGAGTCTCTTGCTAGGAGCCCCTTTTGTTATGGGCCATGATAATGACATCTCACATTTATATGGGTCTTTGTTGTTTACAAAGCCATCTTCCCATAATAACCTTAGGAGATGGGTAGTGTAAGGATTACTTCCCTCATTTTATAGCTGGTAAAACAGAGCCTGAGAGAGGTTGCTAACAAAACAAATAGGAGTTCAGGCTGAATTATTGGACAAATGGTGTCTAGAACTGTTCCCTTCCTTAGTCAGATTATATGTGGAGTGTGTATTCACTTCTTACCACTACATTTTATGAGTCTCATTGATAAACTTCATGGTGTCCAGAGGTCACTGACCAGGACTGAGGTGGGTTTAGACAATGCCATGTAAGGATGGGTTTAAAGAACTGGGGATGCTTAGTCTGGAGGAGAGAAGACTTATTAGGGATGAGGAGAGGTGTGAAAGCTGTCTTTAGTTATTTATTTGAAGGGCTGTCTTAGAAGGGTTAGGTTTGTTCTGCCTGTCCCCAAGACAGAGGGCAAAGGGGAGGCAAGTTTCAACTTGATGCAAAGAAAATCTTCTTCGTAATTAATGCTGTCCAAAAGTGGTCAGAGTTACCCTGAGGGCAATGAATTTCCGGGCTATGGAGGTTTTCAAGTAAATGCTAGATGAACACTTGTAGAGGTGGGGAGAAGGAGGGGTGGGGATTCTTGCTGGGGTCAGGGGTTGGAGTGGATGATTTTTGAAGTTTCTGTGATTTGGTTAAGTGACCGGCCCTCAGTTCCCAAAGCTAATATGTGTTAGCACCAGAATTTCAGCCTAGTTATCCTGACTCAATCAGGCAGTTGACCAATCTTTATTAAGAGCCTACTTTGTGACCTGGGGATGCACATGTGAAGAAGGAATTTACAATCAATTAGGGGAAGACAATGTACAAAAGGAAGCTGAAAAGTGAGAGGGGAGAGGAGAAGTACCTGGCATGGAGTGGGGGTGGAGAATGATGAAAAGGTCCAAAGGAGTACAGCTGGGTAGGAAATGAAGAGATGGCTGGGGGCAGTGAGGTCGTGCAGTGGATAGGCCACTGGACAGTGGTCTATCAGGAGGACCTAATTTCAAACCTGACCTCAGACACTTACTAGCTGTGTGATACTGGACAAGTCACTTAACCCTGATTGCTTCCTCCCTCCCAAAAAAAGAGATGGCTGGTCTTGGCACGTTCCTTAAATGGAAGTTTTGGGAGGACCTCTCCTTGTCATCCTCCATTCAGAGGAGACCCAGGAGTAGGGGATAGTGATGAAGTGTGAGTACCAAGGCTGACATGATCTGGCAGGATGCTGAGGGTCCTGAGGGTGTGATGAAGTCTAGTCTAATGCAGCTGGCTGGGTGGGAACAAAAGACTCCCAACTCTTCTTGGAACTGGGTTGATGGAGGGGATGGTGTAGGTTCTGTGTTCTATCTTCTCAATGAGGATGGGCTGATAGGGAGCCTATTTATGCCACTGCAGGGTGAATTTAGGTTAGACATAAGGGGAAATTTCTCAGCGGTGATGCTTTTGAGACATTGGAATGTATCGCTGAAAGGAGGAGTTGAAAATTCTTTCCCAGGAGACTGAATCAAAACTGAACCTACAGATGGACAGTCCTCCAGATGAGGTCTGATCAGCTCAAAGAATGAAGACTATCAGACGGTCATCAATTTGAGCTGAAAGGGACCATAGAGGCTGAGTGCAATCCCTTTATTTTACAGATGAAGAAGCTGAGGCTCAGAGGGGTCATACAACTAGTGAGTGTCAGGATTTGCACCTAGGTTTTCCTGACTCTGACTCCTATGCCACACTGCCTCTCCCTTCTCTAAATTCAAATTAGCTTTTTGAAAAACTGAATTGCACTGTGAACTCATATTTAGTTTGTGGTCAATCAAAACCTGTGTTTTTTTTTCATAAGCTACCATCAAGTCAGGGCTCCATTTTATCCTTGTGGGAATGAAATTGAATGTAAACACAGAACTTTACATTAGTTGGTTAAACTTCTTCTCTTTAGTCTTTGTTCATTCTCTCTAGAGTATAGATAATTGAGAGGCAGCATGGTATCAAAGTTTAGAAATAGCGCTGGGTTGGGAGTCAAGAGACCTGGGCTTGTATCCGAGTTGTAACACTAGCCATGTGACCATCTGCCAGTCATTTGTCTTTCTAGGTCTCAGTTTCCTCACCTGTCAGATGGAGGTCATGATGGTAATAATCGTTAACAAAAGCTCTATGTTTCTAGAATGCTTTGGAGGTTTACAAAGCCCTTTCTTCACAATAACTCCATGAAGTAGGTCCTCATTTTATAGGTGAAGAGGTTGAGGTTCAGAGGAAGTGACTGTGTCATGTTCACATGGCTATTACCAGGGCTGGGACTCAAATCCAGGTCCCAGGACACCAAATCCAGTGCTAGCTTCCAAGCCTGATGTAAGGAAGGCATTTTTGTAAACTATAAATCTAGAATCTAGAAATATCATTTCTGTTTTGAACATTGTTGATATTATTATCAATAATAATAAATGTAATGCTAAATGAAGGCAGGGGCATTAATGAAATCACCTTGTAGTCTTCCTTTTGACCAGAGGACTTTTCAATTTTCCATCATCCTTTGTGCATTTATCAGAGTTGCTTTCAAATGTCCCTTTCCTTGCAGGGTCCTGCTTTCCCTGTCTGCATGTATGTGCATTGTGGATTAAAAGAATGTAATTATCACTAATGAACAGTAATGGCACATATAAACTAGAGGTCACTCTCCTATTAGCAGCCCTGCGTGGGCCCCGATAAGCATTGGGTCATTAGATTGGCCATGAATTATTGCCCACAGCCGAGGTTCTGCTGAGAGCAGAAACACCTTATCAATGTTAGGGATGGTGCAGAGAGGATGGGGCCAACTTGGGGGCTCCCAGCCCTGATTGTGCTGTGACTGAGCATATGATGAGACCATCCTCTCTATGTTGGGCTAATGAAAGTGCCACTGAGCCAGAGAACAATATTAGGACAACCACTAAATGACTAATGGACTCTTGTCCTGTGCATCCGATCCCCCAATTAGCTGCCGGAAGCTCAGAATGGAGTTTGGTGTGTGTATTATCATGGGATAGCTCTGGCCATTGTTCACTGAAGGTGCCCGAAATGCCTGGTAGCTAGCTGCCAGAGCCTTGTGCCAGGCTCGTGGTGGAGACGGTTGGGGACATCATGATGATAAAATCAAAACCTGGATGCTTTTGAATTATCAGCCAGTGGAAGCAGTGATGAGTCCCAGAGCCAATTTCCTAGTACCAAGTTAATTTTCCATTTTAAAGCCTCCTTTGATGCCTAGGGACTTTTGGCAGCATCTGTAGTGAGCTGGTACTCCTACGGATGGGATTTCAGCCCTTCATGTCAACTGACTTTAGAAAAGGTATTCAAAGTGACTAAAATATCCATACCCTTTGACCTAGAAATCCCACTTCTAGGCAGAGAAGGCCTTGAGGCATTTCTTTCTGTCAAAGAAAGGATGCGTCAATAACAAAATATTCATAGCATCACTTTTTCCAGTCTCAAAGAACTGGAAATAAAGTAGGGGCCCATTGATTGGGAAATGGGTAAACAAATTTTGAGATGAGAATGTACTGGAATATTAATGTTCTGTACAAAAACAACTAAATCAGAGAAGAATGGGAAGACTTATATGAAAAGATGCAGAGAGAAATAAACAAAGATAGGAAAACAATATACATAATGACAACCACAATATATATAGAAAGAACAAAAAAACTTTTAAAAATATTATATAATTATAATGAATAAATTTGGACATAGAGAGGAGTTGAGAAGATCTCTCTTTCTCCCCCCTTTTTAGAGATGGGAGACTGTAAGTGTGGAATGTTGCATATGCTTTCAGAATTGTGGATGTGATAGTTTTGCTATGCTGACTTTTTCTCTTTCCTTCCTTCCTTCCTTCCTTCTTCCCTTCCTTCCTTCCTTTTTCCTTCCTTTTTTCCTTCCTTCCTTCCTACCTTCCTTTCTTCCTTTCTTTCTTTCTTCCTTCCTTCCTTTCTTTCTTCCTTCCTTCCTTCCTTCCTTCCTTCCTTCCTTCCCTCCTTCCTTTGGTTGGAGAGGCTGGAGAATATGTGTATGAAACATTGCAATACAACTCCTTCCATCCTTCTTTCCTTCCTTCTTTCCTTCCATCCTTCCTTCTTTCCTTCCTCCCTTCCTTCCTTCTTTCTTCCTTCTTTCCTTCCTTCCTTCCTACCTTCCTTCCTTCCTTTCTTCCTTCCTTCCTTTTCCTTTCTTTCTTTCTTTCTTTCTTTCTTTCTTTCTTTCTTTCTTTCTT